AGGCCCTCTCCGTGCGTCAGGGAAGCCTCTTCCTTTAACCTGTGGTTTCTTAAGCTGAGCTACTACATTATTTATGACTGCAAATGTGAGTAGCCCATTTGTACGCTCCTCAGGCACACTGAGCCCCCCACTTCCCCTCTTTGGTATTTTAGTGTCTGAGGATGAAAGGGTTTCCCCTGGAGCGGGTGTTGAATTAGCTGCTCTGTCAGTGTGAGGCAGACTGAGGGTTTCCCACCACAGCTTCCACCTGCACAACTGCAAGACTTGTCTTTAATGACTCATTTCTTGCCTTCCTTTTGTTTAACATACTTTTATTTCTTCCTCTGTCTCATGCTTACTGTTCTACTCTGCTGGTTATTACTCTTGACCTTCTATTCTGTTAGCATTTCTTGTAAACTTTAAAAAAGAAAATAATTTCTTCACTGAAATGATATGAATATTAAAAAACATAAGCAAGAGGTAAATGGAAATTGAAAGTTTTATTAGTGTTATTCTTGTTAATATTATATTCTTTCTACCTTTGACTTTCCTTTAAATTTGCCTTTTTAATTTAATTTCTTTTACAAAATACTAAAGACCAAAAAAAAAGAATGGGATTCTGTCCGTGATGGCCTCAGGGTGAGATGAGGAGGCAGAGCAAGGGGACTTGGAGAGAGCAGGAGAGCTGTTGGAGTAGTGTGGTTCTAACCACCGGGAGCTTCCCTCCCTGCGGGGAAGACTGCGACTGGCAAGTCTTAAACTTTTCCTTCTCATCTAGAGAGAAAACAGGAGACTGCACCTAAACTTCCAAACTGGAACTAATTGATTTTCAACTAATCTAAGCCTCTAGCTATGAAGAAACCAGGACCAAAGGCAGACCCCTGGAAGGCAAAGAGAGGGATGGCCGGAGAACCTGGGGCTGCAGGAACCACAAAACCAAAGAGGAAAGGACAAAATCTGTCAAGGTGGCAGGGCATGGGAGGCAGACAAATGAAGTTATAGCAGACAGAATGTAAGAAAAGGAGCTAGAGCCGGTGGTGGAGGCAGCCCCAGGTCCTTTCAGCCTGTATGTTCATTCCTTCCTATTTTGCTTATTAAACTTTTGACACTGGCCACTTGTGAGTGATCATTAAAATTTTTCTAAAAAAATCTTTAAATTAAACTGTGATCATATTTACCTCTGAAGCCATGACAGTCACTTGACAATCAAATAACTTTGAGGGGAACAGCCACCCTCTTAGTGATGTTTCTGAGTACAAACTCATTGAAGAAGAGAGAAAAAGCTCTCCACTCTTAGCAATATCACTCTCTTCAAAGTTACAGATTTTGAATACTGACTGTTGTTTTACTCGTTAGTATTCATTACTCCTGGCATGACCTATGAATATGTTAGGACGGTTTTAAATCATCCGCCTGTCTTCTCAGCCCATCCCCCACCTTAGAAATGGTGACTGTTTTCTGGTGTGTTTCTGTTACACAAGTGTTAACAACCCTGTTGGAGAGGCTACACAGATAGGCATCTTTGGGCAGATCTCTGTGTAAATTCCTTTCCCCTGGGCTCCCTAGTCAGCCAAAAACAACAATAAATACAAGTATGTTCTTCTCATCTGTCAGTTGCGTACATAAGTGTTTTTTTTTCCTCCAATTATGGGGAGGCTTTAATGATGTGGAAGAGGGCTTAATTTAAGGATTTTGAAAGCATTTTTTTCCTCTCCTATCTAACATACTAAATATGTTGTTATAAACATTAAAATTGCAGCACCATATTTTACAATTTTACATTTGAGAAACTGGCTCCAAGTCAACTGATCAATGAATCAAAAAAACCCTAATAAACTCAAAGTTCAACTTTTTCAGAAAAACTTAGAGAAAGAATAATGCAAAAGTAAATTTCCTATTTTTCGGGTCTTTTGTAATTTCCTCTAAAGCATCTGAAAGTTTATGTCACTTTAGTTATAGTACTAACATTAAATAATCAAATAAAAATTGGTTTTTAATTTTTAAAAATCTTAGAAATATACTATATGCTTATATCTATGTAAGCAGAAGACACTTAAATATTGAAAGCAAGTAATTTAATTGCTTCTTTTATTTGCATAGGTATTTAAAGTGCAAACTGTTAGCACATTAAAAAGAGACGTTACAATAGTAAAAAAAAAAAAAAAAGAATAAAGATATTTTTGCCAGTAACAAATTCAGCGGTATTGATTGAATAAATTTCCACTGATATTAAACAGTTTTTGGAAAAAAAAAACAGAAAATTTAACTTGTAAATTCTTCTACTATGAGAACGACAAGATCTGGCCTAAGAATATTGCATACAAGAGAGAAGTTTTTCTGTACATAATTAATCACACTTGTTTCTTCAGAGTCAATAAATTTCTAAAATAATATAAAGGTAAAAATAATGTGTATGGTTTTAATACAGATGTTTACTTCACTTAATTTAGTTTGTTTCCATTTTGTTTTATCTATTAATCTCACTTAAATTCCGAAAGTAGATATTTTGTGAAATATGGTTCTGTTTGGATTAAGTTGATCTGCGTTTGGTGAGCAAACCTCAGAATAAGCATCTTTCTGGATGACAAGTGCAGAACCTGACAATGCGGAAGCATTTTTTAAAAGTTTGCAGTAGATCTTCCAATATAATTCACCTGATTATGGGAAATGTCAGCAGCTTCTTTCCACATTGTTATTTTACCCAGGTGACCTCCTTAGGGCAAATCCCTTGTTATTGCTAATTTGACTCATTCGTGCCTGCTCTCCACGGACATAGATGTCTTTTAAGGTACTAAAACAATAAAATTCTCCGAAGAGAACAACAGGAAACATGGTGGAAATAATATTTTTTAATGAATGTTTTATTATAAAGCATTACACTTTTACCTTTCCTGGTATGGTTTGACTTTTCTTTTTCTTTTTTTCCTTGTTATGGAGGGTGTACAGAAGTTAAAACTTTTTACCAAATAGGGATTGGTTGTAAGGTTTGGATCTACAAGAAGAATATTCTACAGATCATAAAATTGTGGTCCAATTTTCCTCCAAGACTATTAGGAGAAACTCTTCTTCCATCATAATCAGTTTGTCAGTAATTTCTCATAAGACATTTTATTTGGAATAATTAAAGAAGAAATGATGTGATTTGCCACTGAGCATAAAGTCAGCAGTGCAAGCATGATAAAAATAAAGTTTTTAAAAGTTTATATCCTATATTATTTTTCCAGAAGAAAAAAGAATAATTATATTTCTTGGTATAGGCAATATAGTTATTAACTGTTATTATAGTATGCAAAATATAATGAAAATTTCATCCATATAAAAATGAAAGCATTCCTTAATGGTAAAGAAGGATTATATAAATAACTGGATAAAATTATTTATTATTATTTTGACTTTCTTATACTATATAGATTTATAAAAAATGATAGCATGCCAATTAAAACTCATAATTCTTTTCTAAAATGATAATACATTTCTCATGCAAATGATCAAAAACCATATTACATAAAATATATTATTGTGATAACTGCTGTTTTCACATTTTTGTGTTAGATTTTAAATGACCTCCCCTGATTCCATTAAAATATTGAAGCTAACTTAAATTCTTCAACAATACTTTAAAAATATTATGAAGTAAAATTACCATGACCCACATTTTCATCCCCTTTTACCAGGAAAAAGCACTCAAATTAATTTGGAATTAAGGTATATTTAAAAGTTCCAAATGAAACCTGCTAATTATACACAGAAATAAAGGCCTCCAGAACTCCTGATTAGTGCAAAAAATGATGATTTACTAAGACTTAATAATGAGAGTTTTGTCTTTCATAACATAAAGCATATGATTTATGAAGCACCTTGTCCTTCATGCTAAGATTGCTAAGAGCAAATGAGCAGAGTGTATTAGGCAACATATATTATAAAAACATCCATGTGTCTTGAAGATTTGTTGCTGTCTGACTTTTCAAAGAATATTTTCTTTGAGAAATATGAGGAAGTTTTTAATTGAGTGTAAAATGAATGTTGATTTCAAGTCAAAGCAGATTGCATTTTTACAATAAAGTTTTAAAAGTTCTTGCATTAATAGTAAAAGTTCTCTAATTTTACCAGATGACTAAATTTGTTGGTAAACTTTCAGTCTTCAAAAATAAGATATATTCAATTTTATTTTCTTTTAAATGTCTAAAATCATTTTAAATTGATAATCTCTTTAATATTATTGTAAGTGAGAACATTTGATATTGTCACTATTGAAAACTGCTATAACTTGCAAACACCGAGTAAAACATGTTTTTTAAAAAAATTATTCAGTAATACTGTTGCTACCTATAGAAATTCTTGATTATTTTATCTCAAATAAAAGAAAAATTTTGTATAAGTAAAGACCATCATAATATGTTTTACATTTCTTTTGCCAGTGGAGAAAAATTCAAGTCTATATGATATATTTTAATCATAACAATTAAGAAATGTTAGATTGAAACCACTTTTCTAAAATACTTTTCATGGAATTTTATAAGCCCATCCTAGTTTCTTTAATAGTGAGATCTTACAATGTTATTTGATCTTTCATAATCTCATAACAATATTTTTACAGCACTGTGTTCCCTAAATTATTAATGAAAGATGCTTTAAAATGTTGCTTTAACTTTCCCATATGGAAGTGCATCCTTTTTTTCTTGCCCAAAACATTACTGTTCTCAAAATTTCCCCTTTTTAGACTATTGCCTTTTCACTCATGATTTAAGATAGGTTGAAATTTTAACAAGCTCTGAAAAGACCCAAATCTACCAAAACTATAACTACTTAAGTTTAGCTTTTCATATTAAATGTATACATGACTTTATTGGCTAAAGCACAACCTTCTGTCAGATCAATGAAAGAAAAGAAATGGAAGCCAGAGAGGTAGGTTACAGAAAGGGACTGCATACAAATATGACCACCTACCAAGCAGGTTCTTTACCACTAGGAAAGCTTCCACAGTGTAATAGTATAGATTAACAAATAAATGAGCAACATACCTAAGTTGACGAAGCTCATGACCATGTCAGCATCGTTCAGAAAGTTGGTATCATGTAGGCTGGCCAGAGGAGGACTCTGAGTGGTCAGCGGCGTGGCTCGAGATAGCTGCGTGCGGCGCGGGTACCCATTGGGAGAGGCTGGGTGCCCTCTCCTCGGCCCTCTGGCCTCTCCTGCCAGTGATCCCCTTGTGGAGTAGTCCGACTCTTCGGGGTTGTCTTCGTTGGCCATGGCATTGTACAGGTCCAGCATGAAGAGAGGTGCAGAGGAAGCTTGTTTTCCAGGTGAAAAAGGTCTGGGTCTGTGAGGCAAACCCAAGATAGAGAGAATTTCCCTCTGGATTTCCCGTCTTTCGTGGTTCCGCAGTCTTCTATAAATAAAACTGGAGTGAACGTGGTCGTCTCCCAAACCTCCTGCTGCGGAACCCACCAGCGCCCAGCAGCTCCCGAGGAAACCCACAACACCCCTGAGTAAAAACACAGTCAGAGGCATTTTTGTCCAAAGGCAGAAGTTGATATTTTTAGTCTTTCTTGTCCACTTTAAAAAGTATCCGAAATTCCTAGGAGGTATACTTTCCCAGTAGCTGTAAAAGCAAATTTACCTATTCTTCATGACAGTGACATTTCTGAACACAACATCCTCCCTGATTTTCCTGCCCTATTTTAAATATTTTGGAATGTGTCAAGAGTAGTTATTTCTAAGAAAGCTGAAGCTCAGATTTCCAATTATCCACAGTTGTTAAGAGCTTTTCCTGCACTGATGGAGCAGAAGACGGCTATTCTTATTTGATCAGATGACCTATGCATTCCTATATGAATCTGTGATGACCAGGCCTTTGGTATCTGAATTAACAAAGCTGATCTTCTGATAAGCTGTAGCTCCCAAGGTGTCTTCACTTGCTCTTGAGTCTTCGCAACCCTTGTGCTCTTTTCAAGACAGATGCTGATTTCTGAATCACAGATCTATGCAGATCTGCACCTTGGTGTTGGAATATATATTTGTCCGGCAGCTTGGTGATAACTTTACCATCTTTTGTACCGTCTTAGTGTAAAATAAGACTCAAGGTTGTACAAGTCATGTAAATGTGCTTCCCTGAGTTTACTTGAAATCTTTCCTGTAAATCCACTCAATCCCTTTCTCCTTCTTACTGTTAATTCCACCTCCAGCAGGCACAAATATACCAGCCCTCTTCAAGAGAGATCTGAAGAGTAATGTAAGCACAACCCTGCTGGGAAAGAAGAGGCTTCTCATTGTAATTTGAAACTGGTAAAGCAAAAAGAACTTAACCCTTTTGCTACCAGGAGAGACTCCATGTTCACAATTTCATCACTGTGCATCTAACAGAACAGTGGTGTGGGGGGCATACACGTTCCATGGGAATGAAGCCAGCTTTCCCATGACAAACTGAAAATATGTCGCCCATTTATACAGTGCTTGTTCAGATCTCTGTCTTTAATGACACACATTTGATAGACTTTGTGTTAAATCTCTGGTTGTGGCAAAGTTAACATAAAATGTCTCCATTCGGTATCTGAGATTACTTCTGATATTTTCTAAATCCTTAAAGCTCATTTCTTAAAAACATAAAAAGAACAAGTTGGAAATTGTGGTCAATCTCTTATTTCTTAACGACAGCTAGATCTTTTTCAAATAAAAGAGAATTGGTCACTAGGAAATATATTCTAGCTCCCAAAATACTGGTTATAATAATTCAATAATGGTGGTTAGATAACCTATCTTTAAATTTCCTTCCACTATCAGAATTTTAAGCAGAAAAATATACTCATATTTCTTATTAAGTCAATACGTTGAAATCCAATTATCCTAAGAAGTTTCATATTCTTAACTTTTAAGTCATTTTACTTGAAAAATAGATTTAAAAATAAGATGCTTTCTTTAAAATGTATATTTTACTTTGCTTTGTTTTAACACATGCACATAAACACAAGTCAGGCTGGGAATCAAATCCTCTTCATGACTACATGCTGACTGAAATTTGATTTTCTAAGGTTTGATAGGTAAAATAGGGAAAGTGCACACCTTTCCAAAATAGCATACTTAACCTAAGGAAATCAGCCAAGTATGTGTTTGTCTTTAATGTTTAGTGTCTTTAAAATTTGGAGGTCTACAGTGTTTCTCCGCAGCTATGATTTTCCTTGCAAGCACTCACTTAACCTTAGGGGTCGCAGTACATTTATTGTCTGGGCCAGCATTCTGATAGCAATGTAAATTTATCGAGCACATTCTAGAACTGTTATGAAATTTTAATGCTTTCCCTTTACCTACAGGCGCCTGGCTTCTTGTTGAATTTCTTTTTATGTGTTTTGTCTGAATGTATAAAGCAAAGTCATATTTCTCACAATCTCGTTTTCTGGTAATGTAGGATACTGAAGGGGCTTGCAGAATCTTACTGTATTCATCATGCTTCTTATACAAATTCCCTCACTAAAGTGATGATGCCTTATTGAAAATCCTTTATTAATTTCCATGCAGGTTGCCACTATAGCAGACCCCAATGGTAACATGCATGAAACAACTCTATAAATAACATCAGACAGAACAGCAGGAGTACAGGCTGGAAGTTAAGTAAAGAGATGCAATTTCAGTAAGAAATAGTGTAAAATACTAAAACCCTTGAAGTGATTTTAATATTCAAACCAAATTGACACATTTTGACCAACAGTACAGATTTAAATCAATTACTTTCAAGCAAAATTCTTCTTCTCTATATTTATAAAACATGTTCCAGAGAAGGTAGGCTACAGTTTTCTCTCTGTATTTTAAAATAAATTATCAAAGTTATGGATTAGCCCCATGTCCTAGAGCAAACCATAGAATTACAAAGTAAAAATTGGCCACAGTAGATGAAGAAATATTTCTCATTATCTTCCATAAGTAATGACTTTTTTTTCCTAAGATATATGTGAAAAATAAAAATGAGGCTGTTTCAGGAGCCTCAAAAGCTCATTTCCCAAAGTATGACTGTAGTAGTACTTGTTGTAATTGTAATTTAATTTCTTACCCAGGCTTATAGTCTTTTTGATACTGGAAATAAGTTGCTAGCATTCTTAGACGATTCAGTATCCATTTACTCACTATCTTCCCTTCAAACTCACTCTAGAAGTGGCAGACTTTTATTTTTCAAAAATATCAACCTGAGAATTATAGAAAGAAAAATAAGGAAAAACCCTTCCAAGAATAAGGGGAAAATGCAAGCCTCTACATGAAAAGTCAGGTTCATTTGTAATTAAAAGTAAGAATATTTTACTCTTGCATTTGATAGATGTGGTACTGTGTCAGCAGCACCATATTTAAGGGTGGGAGAATAATTTGAAAGATAAAATCTTTGAACTGCACTGTACAAACATCTTAAATTTCAAGGCCTGTATTTAAAATTCGATAAGGAATTCATTATACTGAATAAGAATATGCAGGAACAGAGAAGTGAGAACAGGAGGAAGACTCAGGTTGTTGCAAAAACTGCTCCTAGAGCTGAGCTGGTTTGAAGAGGAGTCTCCAGAAAACCACCTCTCCCAGGGGTGCATTTCCCTGGATAATTACCCACGTAAAGGACCTTCTGGTGAAGAACAGAGACTATGGAACCCATGTAAGAATCATTTCTCACTGTCATTCTTTCTGTCAGATTTCTCTTTTTGTCATTAAAATATGATACATTCAGTCCATGGATATATAAACCATGTCCAATTAACCAGTTTCTTTTCCCCAGATTTTTCAAATGACTCTTGTTCAGTGGAAATTTGAAGTATTTGTAAATGTGTTTTGTTCTAGAGAATTCTATTTATTTCACTTTCTCTTTGTGTTGTGTTTTCTCCTTGAATCAAAATCTCCCAATAGAAGATATGGCTACAATGAAGGGTAGATACCTAAGGTTAATGATATCTGCTATCCAAAATTAGCTCTTAAATTTGCAAAATAACCCCAAATCTTTAGAAGATAATCATAAAATTCTTAAGCCAAGGCCGAAAGATTTTGTTGGAGTGGGTAACACAAAAAGGTGAAGGTGTGTCCACTCGGGGATTGGGGCTCGCACAACGGGAGCAGACAGGGCAGGCCCCTCCTCCTGGCTGCTCTGCCCAGCACGAACGCAAGTGCAGGCAGAGCAGTATCTGTCGTATCAAGTTGCTTCAATTCACTCTCTTTTTGAGCCAAAAAACATAGCTTCCATGTAAACAGAGAAGATGGTGTGGAATAGCAGTGGTCCAAAAGGCAGGCGGAGCAGTGCGGCAACACCACCATCTGATTCTGATTTTCCCGCGTCCCCGCCTGCGAGGGCTGGGACCCGGGGGTGCGTAAGTTTTGTCTGACCGCTGGCTCTTCAGGAAAGCCTGGAAATGGGGACTAAAGACCGTTACCAGAAACTTGAAATGTTTCATATTATTTTTAACAAACTGTGAATTCTTGAATAATTTTATGTGGATAGAAGATTTTTTAATGTGCTATGTATTATTCTATGTTCCTAAAATTGCTTTATTTCTCAAATCAGTATGCAAATAGTTATTTCTAAGGAGAATAAAGTAATAATCACTAAAAACTAGGTATTATTAAAGAAATACTAATGTAAAGATTGTACCTAATAAATATACTCCAATTAACTCACCCAAAACTTTTGGTAAGTTCAGTTACTGGGCCAGATGTTTTATTCATCTATACTGACATTTTGAATAATTAAGTGGTTTGATCAGTAAGCAGTTCTACAGTTGACCAGGAAAGAATACCTTTATTTGTAGAGCACTTTATAGTTTTAGAATGTCATTCACAATAGCTAAATAGTTGGGACCATTTATTAATTCATTTATTGTGCACTTCTCACGCAGTAGGTACCATGTGTTAGATGCAACCACATGGTGCTGCCATTTCAACTGACTTAAGGCCATGACGTCATTTAAATGTGGTTATCAGGCAAAGGCATTTCAGTTTTATCTCGACATATTAGAACGCAAGTAGAAGGAGAACAGAGGCTGGTTCCTGTTCAACAGTATCAAAGAGTATATATCAGCGAATCAGTGTTTGTTGAACAGTTGATTTGTTAAACAGAAATTAACATATTGCAAGGGATTTCAAAGGGGTAGGTCACCCTAAGCACATAGCTGTAAGGGTTACACAAGTTGATGAAATACTGTCTTAGTAACTAGGCTCCCTTAACCTGTAAAAAATTTTCTTTTCATTTAAAAAATAAGGTACCTCTAATTTGTCTAAACTCATATATGTGAAATTAAATACAAATTTCTATTAATATTAGAAAATTATCTTGACTCAGAAGGAAAAAGATGATGTAAGGAGTTACATTAGCACTGACAAAACACATTGCTCTGTTATTATAGGAAAAGCTTATTGAATTAAAGTTGCCCCTGACCTATATGAGCAACTTTTGTTCCTTTCAGTACCGCATTCCTTTAAAATATAGTGACTTCTTTTATGAGTTCTATTTTGTTATGCTGTCATTGATTTTATGGCCCATCTAACAAAGCAAGAAGCCCAGAGATGGCTGGGTTTTGCTTAATAGACATCAGCAGTTAGCACCATACCTGTTAAGACTCAGCAGAGACGAATCACGAGGTAGGCCATGTGGTGGGGCCACTGTACAGGCATGTAGGAGAGTGCCCAATAAAGTTTCTTGTGCCCACACATTTCATTCACACGTTACTTTTCTGCAGATGCCCGACTCTGACTGCAAGCCTCTTACTAACTCAGTGATTGATTCAAAGCCTGTAGGAGTACGAAAGTTCGGTAAAAGGCACAGCTGCCAATTTACTTTGGTATCTCCTGTTATCATCAAAATAGTCCTCAGTGGAAAATAAAACCTATTAATAATCACTAGTCCTTTGTTCAAAATGAGAAATGGAAAGGAAACTTTCAAACTAATACAAAATTATGTTGTTACTATTATTTGTAAACTTTTGATTAAAAGGTCCTAGCTTTATTAATATCTTTTGTTCCAGGAAATAGATAATATTTTATATAAACTTCTTCAGAAGGTTTAGGATAAATTTTTAGCCTAACGAATTAGTCCTGAATATTTCACAGAAATTGTATATCAGCAATAAAAAGATTTCATGTATATGTCACCCAAGATTTAGTAGAGTTCTGTAACATGAGAGGATATGGACTCATCTGTTTCCTAATACATAATATACTGATATAGCTAACATAAGGAAGATGTATAATTACTAATTTTTGAGCCATATGCATATAATAC